ATCAGTCGCTAAAAAAATATATAAATAAAATATTTTAAAAACACCCATACACGCTTTTCTTAGCGTGGTGGGGGATCGAAAATTACACGGCCGCGGTGTCCTCGAAAGAGGGCACCTACCATACACGCTTTTTTTAGCGTGGTGGGAAAGGCCCAGTTTTCCGTAGTTTTCCCTTAAACGGGGGAGACGCCGGAAGGCTGCTGAAATTTCGGGTGAACGCAATATTACATTTGGACTCGATTGCACTCGAATGACATGCAAGAACAAAATGCTGGAATTTGATTGAACTCAAAGGACGATCGAACTTGGACTCAGCTTGTGAACATTTGGACTTGATTGAACGAGGGACTCAGACTTATAAACTTGATTCAATCGACCTAAGTGAATTTAAACCCAAACAAATTTGAAAATATAAAATTTGAACTTACATTTGATTTGAAAGTCAAATGAGAAGAACAATTTGGGACCTGGATTTGGTTGAACACAGAAGAACAACAAGGGACTTTGATTTGGACTTGAACAATAGAACAAAGAGGTTAAATTCAAATGAACCAAAATTCAATCGAACTTGAGCTTGATACTTGAATTCAAACAGATGACTTGTAAACAAGGCCTGGACATGGTTGAACTCAAAGACAAGGATTTGTACATTAACATATTTGAACAAAAGACTTAAAATCAAGCTTAATCAAGGAGACTTTGAACTCAAAGAATTGAACCATGACGAACTCAAGTGAATGTGGAGAACTTGAACTTGCCAAAATCACATGAGACTTATGAACTTGGTTTGAACCAAGTTATAGGGGCTTGTAATGAATATGTGATAAGCAAAGGCCAAATGCAATTTATTTGCAATAAAAGAAAAACAACAAGGTCTTGACTTCCAAATAATGGTAGAAGATTTTCACATGCATGAATATCCACATACAACATGTATGATTGTCTACCTACAACAAGCAATAAGTGTTTCATGCCTACAAAATAAAGAAAGAGAAAGCTCCTGATGAATAAGTCAATCCCCTAAAAGAATGATACAAATAACATTGAGCTTGTATTGTTCATATCAGTTAATCCCCGAATCTACATAAAAAGCTTGAAGGCAATATTGAGTGGAGTTATTAGCAAATGACATGTAAAGGGGATGATAACTCACCAACAGAATATGCTTAGAAACATTATAGCAAATATGGCTTGCATAAAGAAACTAGTAGAGACATGCAACAAGTGAGATATCAATGAATACACGAATTTCCTACAATCAAGAGAGTTGACAAGTGACATGTGATGAATCCAAACATGCAAAGCATACAAGAGGTATAAGCAGATACATCAACCCCTTTGCGAGCAGAAGGATCTAACATGGAATAAGTGCAAAGGCCCCTAAAGAGTGTAGAAATTTATACGACTTGTTATTTGTATACAAAGACTATATACCTGCTATGTGAACAAAATACCTACACACCTACAAGTTATCATAACAAAAGATGGTGAATGTTACAACACTTCTACGATCAAATACTACTCCAAAAAAGGATCTGCAATACATACGATCTCTCTACGAAGACAGATATATGTGCCACATGCCACTAATGGGTAGATGCAGAAAGACTTCAGTAAGTGCAGTATCCTGAAGTCACTTTCAATCTATGGAATACATCTACCTGCCTACCTATAACAGTGGAGGATGTACTGAAAGGATCAAAGACAAAAATAAAATATATGAAGAATATGACAAGTGAAAGTTCCTACGATCCAAAAGGCAGGAGATTAGTTAGTGCACTATTATCTGCCTACAAAAATCAACAAATAGTGCACGACAGTCTACCTGTACGAAGCAGCGAATAACTCTATTCAGAAGCTGCTACGCCACGCCACCGGATCTGCAACATAACGAAAGTTCTCTCTCGTGATCGAGAGGGGTAATTAACTATAGGGGCTTGCGCCTATAGGAAACCAGAACTCAAGATCATAAAGTCCTCACAAAATGAGGACAAAATCTCTGGGTAGTGTCTTATCTACAAACCCATCTGCCTTCCAAAATTAACCCCAGAACTTATTCCGTTAAAACTCCCTCGCCGAATAAAGAAAAGCGGGGAGGCCGGGGCCG